GTTGGTAAATGAATTTATTCCAAATTCACAAATGATTATGGTGTTATTATTTGTCTTTACGTTGATAATTTGTTAATTTTTGGAACAAGTATGAGAAGTGTTACTAAAACTAAGAAGTATCTAACTTCATATTTCAAAATGAAATATCTTAATGAAGTAGATACTATCTTAGGAATTAAAGTAAAGAAACATGAAAAGGGGTATGCGTTGTGTCAATCTCATTATATTGAAAAGATGCTTCTTAAATATAATTATTTGGGAATTAAAGAAGCTAGTACCCCCCTTATGATTCAAGTATTAAAATGTTCAAAAATTTTAACAGAGCAATTGCACAGCTTGAGTATGCCTGTGTTATAGGTAGTATGATGTATGTTATGCATTCTACAAGGCCAAATACAGCATTTACTGTGTGTAAACTTTCTAGGTACACAAGTAATCCTAGTACAATTCATTGGAAAACAATTGTTAGAATCTTTGGATATCTTAAGGGAACAGTGGACCAAGGACTATTTTAGTATGATTTTCCAGTAGTACTAGAAAGATACTTAGATACTAATTGGATTACTAGTGCGAGTGATAATAAGTCCACATCTGGATGGATATTTACAATTAGTGGAGAAGCCATTTCTTGAGTATCTAAGAAACAGACATGCATAACACATTCAACAATGGAATCTGAGTTTATTGCATTAGCGGCAGCTGGCAAGGAAGCAAAATGGTTGAGAAATTTGTTATTATATATAGAGTTTTGGCCAAAACCGATGGCATCTATTTATTTACACTGCGATAGTAAAGCAACTGTATGTAGAGCATATAATAAAATATATAATGAAAAGTCTAGACATATCAGTTTAACACATGAGTATATTAGACAATTAATAATTGATGGTGTTATTAACATAATATATGTTAAGTTAAGTAATAACGTGGTAGATCCTCCTACTAAGGACTCTCGAGAGATTTGGTAAAAATTACGTCTAATGGAATGGGACTGAAACCCTTTCTTAAAAAATCACCAGTAATGGTAACCCGACTTTGTACTATAATACCACTAGTTCAAAGTTTAATGGGTAATAACAAGTTACTGATATACGGTTGTATAAGCACTGGAAAAAATAATAATAATAATAATTATAAACTGGCCCTTCCAGGATGTTCAGTGTAAGCTATTACGATTTAAGGATGAGTTATATACTCTTAAATAAGTTCAAATAACGTAAAGTGTCTAAAGTAATAGGGACACATATTGGAACTTCTCCTATGTGAACATAGAAGTGGTGCCACTTCTAGCAAGGGTTATTAGGGTTTACTCTTGTAAATGTTTATGAAACCAGGATGAGCGCATGGCCATAGTAGTGCTAAAGAAAATATGAACATCTCATAGAAACTAGATAGAATCATGTGTGTGGTATTTCCGGTTTTAATAAAAAGGAGACTTGGTTTAAGCTAAGGCCACCATTGTTCTTCATTAAAACTTTGAAATACTTACACTAATTGAAGGTTTAAATCAAAAGATACCTTCTTGTATGTGTGATAATATTATATCGACTGGATACTTAATATATTACAATATAGTAGGGAATTGTTGAATATATTGTAATATATATATATACACACGTGACTTTTGGTTTGCACCTTTTGAATATATTGCAATTATTCAGATGATACGTGATTTCTGGTTTGTACTTTTTGGAAATCTATAAATAGCAATGGTGCAGTACATTCTGAATTCACTTTTTTCTGTTCTTTCTTGTATCTAGTCATAACAGTTAATAAACTCAATTTGAGTGGCGACAAATAACACTTAAGGAAAGTGAATACACGTCTCAAATGATCACATTAAACATCAGTGTTTCATTATCATCACACTTGAAAACGTCTGGTCAACTTCAATAATTTATGAGTCAATTGATTTAACAATATACAGTCCTCTTGCATCATTTGATGACAGATATGAAACAGTGTAGTATTATAATTTTTATTTTTATTTTTGTGCTTGATTAGACCAATTCAACAACAGGATTAAATAGAGTTTTTCATCATTGTTTCGATTCATAATTGATTGCCTACGCATATAACACTATTGTTTGTGTGCATTCTCAATTCAGTGTAACACGTATACTAGCATTGTGGTTGTAATGCTTGCAATCTAGAAAATATATTATGTCCACAGAATAGTGAAGAGTGAGAGAGGAAGAGAGTCTTGAATCAACTGAATGTGACTTGTACCATATTCTTCCAACAAAGAGAATAATATAAGTTACTTTTCAAAAGTGAATATAAGACTCTCTTTTTAAAGGATAATTCTCTTATTTTTTTATTAAAAAAAAGTAGCTTGCCGTAAGAGTATTTCCGTCCAATGCTAGTATCATTTTATTTTTTTTTTTTTAATTATTTTTTTTTTTTTTGAGTTAAATCCAATTGGAATGTAATTATCAACTCATATCACAAAACTGTCTTTGGAAAAGACGGTGTGGGGTCTCAATCCAATTAGATGCTTATCCTAAAAGCCTAAAGGCAAAATGATGTGGGGGAAAGATTTATAAATCGCAAAAGTCATTACAGCCCACCCAACAAAGACTTCTTTGCCCTGCATTTTCTGCCCACACTCTCCCGTCTACCATGACGTTGAAAACATGTTTTTTTTTTTTTTTTTTTCCCTACTTTTAAGAATTCACCCTCACTAAATTAAAAAATTCCATCATTTTTAATGTTTCTTCCTCTCTTTTCTACTTTGCCAAATTTCACCAAATTTGATTCAGTTTATGAAAAATGGGCTGAATTTCTCTTCCTTTCTTTTTTTTCCTTCGTCAAAATTTTCAAATTTGAAATTACTGACACTCATACGTGAGCCTGAAGAATATATAAAGTGAACACAATCTTCTCAATGTGTTAGTAGTAGTATTTTTACAATCTTCTAAAATATAAGGCCTTCATAAGAATAAATGGGTGAGTAAAATTTTTTTTTTTTGTCAAGAAGCAAAATCAAAAAATTGACTAAATGTTCAAATTTTGTCCCATTTGACTTTGGGGGTAAGAATTTGGAATAAGATTCGAGAATTGAGATTACCATATTGTCTAGCTAGAGATACTAGGAAGCCCTAAATGGGGACCTGTTTTGAGAGATGAGAATTCAATTCAGTGACTCAATTGACTAGAGAGTCCCATTCTTTTAAGTTTAGGGTCTATGAAAGCACTTTGCAACACAACAGCCACTCAACCAAAATCAACGTGTGTGGCGTAGGATTTCCCACCATTCTACACCATCCAATCCAGCCATCCAAATCGGACTATATTAATGACTCCACCATTATTAACACATGGCAATCAAAGTTATACAACACTTAATGGTCTTGGACCATTTTGTTTTAGTGGTCCTGCACTAATAGTGCCTCAATTATTTAGGGGTCGAACCCATATGGGATGGATGAGATGAGGACTAAACCCACCCTCGCTTGTTCGAATGCGGGTGGAATTTTATGTAACCCGTGCGGATTCGCGGTCCAGGCACGTGAAACCCACATGGTCCAGTGCGTGCGATGTCCTTCAAACCACTTCTAGACATAGACTTATAACTATGTCCTGGTTGGAAGGAAGCAGTGTTGTTAAATTCATTTTAGTTTTATGTGTTTTGTATGCTTTGAGTGATGCATTCAAATCTAAAATTATTGAAGGGTCGAAAACACAACACTTTGGGAACATATGTTTTCTTAAAATTGAGGAAAATATTTGTTTGTTGCGTTGTCTATTTGTCCAGATACACTACACTTGCTGTCTCGAGAATGACAAAAGAACCTTTTATATTAAACTGAATAATGAAATGGTCTCTCTTGTGAATTCTATGGTATACAATCTATAGACATATGAGTTTGTGTTTTATGTTGATGACCGTATGTTAATAATAAAATTAAATTGTAAATCCATGCATGCAAATGAGGGATTTTAGTGGGCAATCTTTGGAGAAAATCTTTCTTATCATTAGTGGAAGTGGAATCCAAGATGAATGAATCGGTGTAGCAAAAGATATCGAAACACACAGTTCAAGACATGTCCCAGAGTTGGAATACAACGACATGAAGTGGGTTGGACCCACCTGGCACTTTGGGTTTGACTATAAGTCTACAAATCCGACTAGGTAGTCTAGGGTTTGGCTACTTTAAGCCAATGGAACCCCCCACTGAGATCTGCAGTTTCACTTTTCTACTGAGCGCGTGATTAGCAATCCAGGACCCAACAAAATTATTCCCTCCACAAAGAGAGGACGAGACGCTAGTATTAGACATTTAAGTTAAAATTTTAAATTTAATTTTCTTTAACAAAAAAAAAAAGTAAATAAATTATAAATTCAACCATTGAAACCTAAAACTTGAATCTTCTGATCATGTATCCTACGAAAAGTGAAATTATATACTCAAAAGATGAGAGTAAATTATATAAGTGAGTCGCTTCTGATGATTCAATCTTTACCCTTGATAAAATACATGATGGATATTCGAATATAGGGGGAGATCTTACTCTTAAAATCTAACTGGCAAGGCTTGTGGAAGAGTGTGTACAAGCACATTAGATATGTTTGAAAACTTGGTGAGTCATTTCTGATGATCCAATTTTTACCTTGATAAAATACATGATCGGTCTTCAAATATGCGGTGGATCTTACTCTTAAAATCTAGCTGGCCAGACTTGTGAAAGAGTGTGTACACGCGCATTAGATGCGTTTGAAAACTTGGGAAGCAAAAAAAAAGTGATGAAAAAAAGAAGGCGTAGAGTCGGTTAAGAAAGAAGAAGAGGTGAGGGAACAGTAGGGACAATTGGGTCGGCAAAAAGAGTAACAATGATACGGACACGTAGGAAAATGTTGCCCCCACATCCTCTTGTCTGCTACCGTCCTTCCTCCCCGGGCGCTCCTTCCCTGTCTCTCTGTCCCCACACTTTCTCTCTCTACTTCCTCCTCCGAATCTCAATCTCTCTCTCTCTATATATATATATACTAAGACCTATAAAACAACATACCCAAATCTCCTAACCCCCATTTCTCTATTACCAACACAAACACATTATATATATATATATATATATATATATATATATATATATATATATTATTAGTAATTGGAGTTGTGGATCACATACTTTGATTCATTTGTTATGTTGTTGTTGGATGGTATGGAGCTTCAACTCGGACTTGCACTCCCAAGCAATCCCATGAAGGGGTTCGACCTCAATAGCTGCTATGTTTACGAGCCTAAGGGAGCTTTAGGCTCGGACATATTCAACCATCTCGGTTCTAATGAAGGCACCAGTAAGTTGAGAAAACGTGGTCTCACTCAAGCTTTTGATGAGCAAGACATCCCCCAAACTCTGCCTCTATTGGCGTGGAATAACCACCCAAACGAAGAAGATGATGGGAAACAACAACGCAACAAGCCTTTTATCATTCACAAGTACTCCCTCTTAATTTTCTCTCTCTCTACCTGTATGTATACATATGTGTATATTTACACGCGCGCGCGCGCGCGCGCACACACACACATATATATTTGGGTGCAATTAGCTTTCTGAACATTTTCATAATATCAATGTTTGACTTAGAGAAATATCAATTTCATATATTTGTTCAAATACTAAGTTACTAACGCACACACTTGAATATGATGATTGAGAAAACTGATGCATATATAAAGATACATAATGTAAATTAAATAGTGCATGGAATTGAATTGATAGTAATTTAACTCCTAAAATATAATAATTTGATGAAACAGATATGATATTGGAGATGAAGATGGTGTGGTGGGGTGGCCACCCATCAATTCGTGGAGAAAGAAGCTTTGCAACCAAAATCACGGTGGTCAGGCGGCGGACATCAATGGGATGGTGGATAACGGTGGTGGCAGAGGAGGAGGAGGAGGTGGTGGTGGCAGAGGATCAAATTCAATGTACGTGAAGGTGAAGATGGAGGGAGTGGCAATAGCAAGGAAGGTTGACTTAAGTCGTCATGAGTCATATGAAACGCTCACAGATACATTGGTTGACATGTTTTGGATACGTGAGTACTACTACTACTATTTGTTGTTAAAAATTTGAGATGATGTTTGTATTCCCTTACATTGGTTTGAGAAAACGATGGAGTAACATGTTCCTATTTGTTTTTTGGGTTGTTTGGACAGGCCAGGAAGATGTGAAGGCTTACACGCTCACCTATCAAGATAAGGAAGGGGATTGGCTCCTTGTTGGAGATGTACCTTGGCAGTATGTGTATTTTCTTTTCTTTTTATTATTTATTGTGTGTTTGAATCAAAATGTAGTCGATCCAGTGCATTTTCTTGATAAGAGTTATGATCTCTCTTTATTTAAATATAAACAAGTTGTTTAATAAATTTTAATCATGCGGAGATTTGAATTCTCAATCTTTTATTTGAAAGGCGAGACTTAAACAGTATACTTGACAATAATAATGATATTAGTATTGTTTTTGCTATATTTTTGGCATTTTGACGGTTGCTAACACAAATTATATGAAATTGTATGGTTTTGCAGAACTTTCATCCAATCGGTGCAACGCCTAAAATTACTAAGGACAAGGGGGTGATTGAGATGTAGTGGAACATATCGAAGTGTGTTTTTCGTGGGCATGCTTGCTCTAATTTAGGAGAAGCAGAGATGTTTATTTGCTAGAATACTAAATAGAGATGTATGTAAACTGGGTGAACTTTAATTAACTTGCAGTAATTCATATAAGAAACGGATGCTTATGGACGTACTGTAGTAATCCTCTCACATCTCACTATTATTTTTCCCACCTTAATTAATTTTTGGAGCATTGTCAAATGTATCGTGTTTGATATTCATGGTATGTTTTCATAATTGCTTTAATAGTGTTAGCCCAAAGTGGTTATTAACATTTTTATGTTGTATTTGTCTCTCAATTGTATTAGGAGATTTTTTTTCCTTCATGCTCATAATATAATTTTCTCACTAAAAATAGGGTGATAGTTTTTGTATCGTATCGAATTTACTCTCAACAGAATCGAGTTCATGATTTTTGTATCAGTTTAATCCAAATACAAACATTTAGTTCTTGATTTTTTTAAACTATGAGGTACATATTGATACAAAATTATGCTCAATTTCATATGTGACAATTCCATAAAGATCTCATCAATTTATGCTATATAATATGAAATCAAAATGAGAAATGAAATTAGTCAAAAAGATCTTTAATGTAAGTATTTTATGATTTTGAATCTTTTTTTACATAAATTATTTTTTAAATTATTAAATACATATAAATTTTGAATACTGCACGGCTCCGTCCTGCTAAGAGTTGGGAGTTGTAACTTTGATATATATATATATATTCACAAGAAACTTACCTACATACTTTTTATTCTTAATTAGACTTAAGCTCTCAATATTCTATTTTAAAAAATACTGTGGTTATAAAAGGGTTTTTATTATTATTATTATTATTATTTATAAAAGATTGATGTGCTATTACTACCTCTTTCTTTTTTTTTTCTTTTCCAATTTTTTTTTTTTTTTTTGCCTTATAATGTGAAGCCCCTTGAAGTTCCACCGAAAAGGCTAAGAGCCGTTTGATTAATATTTTTGCTCTGTGTTTTTGTTAATTGTAGAGAAGTAAAAATACGAAACATATTTGGTAACGTTTGTTGTCATTTGAATAAAAATTGAGACCAAAATCAAAAGTATAAAAATGGTGATATTTTGTTTGCTGTAGCATAGCACAATTAGGGTTGTTTTTTTTTTTTTTTTTTTTTTTTTTTTTTTTTTTTTTTTAAATAGCATTTTTAGGGCTTGTTTGGCTAATGCTTTTGCTTGTACTGTAACAAAGCAAAAGCACGAAACACGTTTGGTAACGTTTGCTGTCATTTGAATAGTACCGAAGCACTTCAAAAATTAAGGCCAAATCAGAAGTATCAAAGCAAACATGCTTTTGCGTTTTTGCTTCTAAAAATTTTGTAACAAATTTACGTTACCAAACAAGTTTTGAAATAGTGTTAAACACACTTTAAAGCCGAAACATTGCTTCTGCTTTGGGTCAAGCAAAAGCATAAAGTAACTGTAGTTGCCAAATAAGCCCTTAACTAACTATTCAATTAACACTTTTTACTAAACATACTTTCATATTTTTGCTTCCAACAATCTTGAAATAAATTTACGTTACCAAACAAGCTTCAAGATAGTGTTGAACACACTTTAAAGTAGAAATATTACTTCTATTTCGAGTCAAAGCAAAATCACAAAGCACCTGTGGTTGTCAAACGGACCCTAAGCAATTGTAAGCTTTCCTGGATCATAGCCCATCAACAATATCAAGTCCATCATCTATCTAGGAATGGGCTTGATTCAGTAATTTTTAATTGGCCTGTGATTATGGCCTCTCATTTCATAGAACTTGGTTCATGAAAACTCTCGTAGTACTGAATTTAACCCACATACCTTGTCAAATAACTAATCTGATTCGTGGGTGAATTTTAGGTTGGAGAGAATAGGAGTCAACCTGTCCTATCTTGTAAACAAATCTCTCAACCTTCAATGTAAAATTTAAACCTCTGAAAAAAAAAAAATCTTAAAATTAAAAAGAAGAAAAGCTTACTTTTTGAAAAAAAAAAAAAAAAAAAAAAAATTATACTAAATATTTTATAGATGTAAAAACAATCGACCTGACGTCATTAGGGTAGAAATATTGATGAGGTGTAATTGTACCCATTTCGTTTAAACGGGCATCCATAAAAAAAAAAAAAAAATTCATTTTCCATAATTTTTGAAAAGTTTTTTGTTTTTTAAAGTCTTATTTTAGTTGGAAGAAATGATGAAAGGGAGGGAAAGAAGGAATGATGAAAGGGACCAAGACCGAATCCAGAAATTGTTAATGGGGTGGGTTAATATTTTTTTTAGTGAGCTAATATTAATAATATGTATATATTTTTTTGATTGCACTAAAATTACCAATAGTAAAAAATAAGAATAACAATAAATAAAAAAATTATGATGGGCTTGAGCCCACCAAAGCATATACATAGATTACTATATATATATATATATATATATACTAGTAAAAGGCACGGGCGATGCACGTGATAAATGTTTTATGAATTATATAATTTATATTTTTATATATTTTTTAATTGTTTATAGTTTTATAAATAAATAAAAAATAGGCAAAACAGTTTCAGGCCCAGAATGCCTTAGACAGTAATAATTGTCATTAGGTAATAATTTTTGGAGTTTCTATAATTTGTGTTAGAGTTAAAATATATTTTGTTTTAGAGTTTAATAGAAACTCTTTTAAAATCTCTTTTTATATCAATTAATAAATATTTTTTTATATTAATAATTCTTTTATATTTTATTTGAATTTTATTAGGTAATAATTTTTAGAGTTTCTATAATTTGAAATATATTCGTGTTAGAGTTTTTAATAAATATTTTATTTCAATTTTATTAGGTAATAATTTTTAGAGTTTTTATAATTTGAAATATATTTTGTGTAGCAAGGAAAAAAAGACTTATATAATAGAGAGAATACATATTTTTTTAGAAACAACAAATAGATAAAATAAGTAATTTGAATTTTATTAGGTAATAATTTTTAGAGTTTTATAGAAACTCTTTTTTTTTAGATTTCTATAATTTGAAATATATTTCGTGTTAAATTTTTAATAAATATTTTATTTGAATTTTATTAGGTATTAATTTTTAGAGTTTCTATAATTTGAAATTTATTTCGTGTTAGAGTTTTAATAAATATTTTATTTGAATTTTATTAGGTAATAATTTTTAGACTTTCTATAATTTGAAATATATTTCATATTAGAGTTCTATAATTTGAAATATATTTCGAATTAGAGTTTTAATAAATATTTTATTTGAACTTTATTAGGTAATAATTTTTAGAGTTTGTATAATTTGAAATGTATTTCGTGTTAGAGTTTTAATAAATATTTTATTTAAATTTTATTAGATAATAATTTTTATATTTTATTAGGTATTAATTTTTTGAGTTTCTATAATTTGAAATGTAACTTGATCTTAGTCAAAAGGTCGAGAAAGGTTAGCCAAAAGGCCAGCCCAAAAAAACTTAATACTTCACTTGATCTTAGCCAAAATGATGACTCAAAAAAATTTAGTACTACACTTGATCTTAGCCAAAAAGCCTAGAAAGGTTAGCCAAAAGCCCGAGAAATTTGTGATTATTATTTCTTTAGGTCTATAATTTTATAAGGGGATTCCATGTAATCATTTTAACTTAAAACCAATGTGGGACAAAAAAAAAATGAATTTTATTAGGTAATTTGTAATTTGAATTAAACTCTTTAAATAATTTTTAGTTAATTTTTTGTCTCTTTTTTTATATTAATAAATAAATACTGAAATACTGAAAGACTGAATCTCTTTACACATTTAATAATAGCATAGGTATAGATATAGATATAGATATAGATTTGTAATTTGTAATTTGAATTAAACTATTTAAATTAATTTTTATAAATTTCATTAGGTAATTTGTAATTTGAATTAAACTCTTTAAATAATTTTTCGGTAATTTTTTGTTTATAAAAACTGAAATATTAAAATACTGAAATTCTTCTTAGTCAAAAGGACGAAAAAGGTTAACCAAAAGGCCGACCCAAAAGAATTTAGTACTTCACTTGATCTTAGCCAAAAGGCCGAGAAAGGTAATTTGTAATTTGAATTAAACTCTTTAAATTAATTTTTATAAATTTTATTAGGTAATTTGTAAGTTGAATTAAACTCTTTAAATAATTTTTAGGCAATTTTTTTTTTATATTAATAAATAAATACTGAAATACTGAGATACTGAAATTCTTTGCACATTTAATACTAGTATAGATATATATCGATATGTAAAGAGTTTCATAATTTCAGTATTTATTTATTTATATAAAAAATCTATATATATGCTATTATTAAATGTGTAAAGAGTTTCAGTGTTTCAGTAATTCAGTATTTATTTATTCATATAAAAAATATTTATTAATTGATATAAAAATAATTTCTATAAAACTCCACAAATACAAATCCAGATTTCCAGAAATACAAAGATGCATATAAATAGAAGCATGGAGGAATGAGAAAAGAAATTGAGAATTTTATAAATCCAGAATTCTAGAGTAAAATACATAAACTCTACCAAAGAGTTTCAGTATTTATTTATTTATATAAAAAATATTTATTAATTGATATAAAAGAGTTTTTATCTATATTATTATTAAATGTGCAAAGATTTTCAGTATTTATTTATTTATATAAAAAATCTTTATTAATTGATATGAAAAGAGTTTTTATACAAAAAAGACTCTATAAACTCTAAAATTTACCTAATAAAATTCAAATTAACTTATTTAACTATTTATTATTATGAAATTTTTAATAAAAGAAAATCTAATTGGACAAGAATTATTAATATAAAAAATATTTATTAATTGATATATAAAATAAAATAATTTTTCTAAATCTCTATCACAAATTATCTTTTATTATGAGTTTCTTAATAAAATGAAATCTAATTAGACAAGGATATATTTAAAGAAAATAAGATAATTTATATAAAACTCTATCACAAATTATCTATTTTATTTTCAATAAAACTCTATTTTACCAGACAAAGATATATTTAAAGAGTTTCTAAAAAACTCTAATAAAAATTGCCTACTTATCTATTTATTATTATTATTTAATAAAATTTATAAAACTCTATCACAAATTACCTATTTATTTTTAATAAAACTCTATCACACTAAACAAATAAAATATTTAAAAAATTTCTATAAAACTCTAACACAAATTATTTATTTATCTATTTATTATGAGTTTTTTAATAAAATAAAATCTAATTAGATAAGTATTATTAATATATAAA